CCTACACGCAGGACACACACCAGCGCGTCTCCGTTGAGAAATACACACACAACAGTCCCAAACGCTCACTCCCTTGTATTGTCTCGTTGTCCCAGCAGGGCTAAAACGTGTGAGGAAACACGTCCCGACTGTTCTGCAACACCACCATTAGGTGTCCGATTAGGGCTGTTATTTGCAAAGTCAAAAGCCTGTGCAGGTGGTGCTGTCGTTCAGTTACGAAGATTGTTGGTCTAAACACGGACAAGAAGCAAGTGTGAGGAGCAGCTACCACAGGAGAATTCGGTCATTAAAGAGCTCAGAGTGCCACCAAAGACGCTTGCTCGGAGCGTCACCACAGAGAGATGGTCGCTCAGCAAAAAAATCTGCTCAAATGTCAGCAAAATCTTCAGAGATGAGAACCATATTAGTCCAGTATCCGTTAGCAAACGGTATTTCACTGTATGAAGGCGTTAGAAGGTATTTGATACCGAGCGTTTTTTTTCTTGTAAGACTAAAGAAAAACATCAACTTTGCAGTTACGAAAGACCCGTATCTGTTTAAGTGCTGGGAGTGGTATCGGAACCAGGGGGGCAGGTGCCCGTGGGAGCCCACACCAGTCACTGTGCATAGGTGCCTCTCGAAGTCAGGGCTGTCCCCTGCCACCCACAGGCGAGAACACAGAACCCAACGCCAGAGAAATGCCCCACGTCACTGCAGGAGGTGGTGAGCAAATCTCACCGCGTCACCAGACTCCAAGCCTGGTGACCTTTTCACGTGTTTGCTTGCTGTCTCCCGATGAAGGTTCGCTGGATATACCTTAGTTGTTTTATCACTCACCACCTTCACTGCACCAAACCACTATCAATGAACAAATACTTGGGGGTGCCTGGGTGGCTCGGTCGGTTTAGCGTCCAACTTTGGCTCAGGTCGTGATCTCAGAGTTTGTGTCAGGCTCGGTGCTGGCTGCTGGGAGCCTGGGGCCTGCTTTGGATTCTGTGTCTCCCTCTCTCTCTGCCCCTTTCCTGCTTGCACTGTCTCTGTCTCTCTCTCAAAACAAAACAAAACAAAACAAATATTGGTAGTTAACACCAAAAGTTGTAGCTAAAATAAGAGGATCGCTGGAGTGCCTGGGGGGCTCAGCTGGTTAAGTGGCCAACTCTTCACTTTTGCTCAGGTCATGATCTCAGGTTCATGGGTTCGAGCCCCGTGTCGGGTTCTGTGCTAACAGCTAACAGCTTGGAGCCTGATTGGAATTCACCCTCTCCCCTTTCTCTTTGTCCCTCCCCCCTAGTTGTTCTATCTCAAAATAAATACATCTAAAAAAAAAAAAAAGATCATAGATTTTTAAAAATTTAAATACTGAAACTCTTATTTTTTTAAGCCAAAAAAAAAAAAAAAAAAGCTAAGTAACTAAAACTGAAAGACGTACAATAAGGTACAAAGAATTATATGACCACTATGTTCTCACTATCCTGATTAATAAAAATTTGCTGATTAAGAAACTCCTGGAAGCTGTGGTCCCCAGAGTAAACACAATCCTGAATTCACCCGATTTCTTTGTAATTTTACTTCTAAGTGATACAGTAGTATCACACGCTCAAATTTTATGCGAGTAATTTGGCACAGGAGGTGTTTTCCGTTCCTGTTTTCTGTATTTAACGTTATGTTCATCAATTTCGTCACGCTGCCATCTGCCCCTCCACCTCCCTTCTCACAACATTTAACTACGTTATCGTGAGAGCCGTTTCACGATGCTGCTTCCATGCTGCGATGACATGTAACGGCTCACTCCAAAGCTCACAGGTGAAATGTGTTCGGACGCGTTCCGGCCCTTGGGTGTTAGGAGATCCATCCTCCTGGGCCTTCGCGGGGAAGCCAGCACCGACCACAACATCCCACGTCCAGGAAAGGCACACGGGGGAAAGGGGTGTGTGTGCGCGGCACTTGTTACAAGACGATACGCACCGATGAGGGAAGGGCTAAGAAAATCACGGTGCGTCCGTTCCGTGAAACGTAACCAAGGAGGGGACGGAGCCACACACAGTGATGTGATTAATGCACATCCGTGGGTTCTCTGATCCCTTTGCAAGGTGAACCCTAACCCATCCTCCCCCGATGGAGGCCTGACACTGACCTCCTTCTAAGCAAGCAGAGGGCAGAGTGAGCGGCGCTCTGTGACTTCTCGGGCTAGGTCTTAGGAAGGTCAGCTCCTACCTGGTGCTCCAGGATTTAGTGACCGCTGGGACTGCTCGCTTCAGGGGAAGCAGGCACCCCCTCTTGTGAGGGCGCTGGAGCTACACCAGGAGAAACGGAGGCCTGGAGGCCAGCGGAGGAGTCACCTGGGAAGTGGGCCCTTGAGCCCGGCCCCCAGCCTCCTGAAGCTAACTCGTCAGCACTGGCTGTGCTAGTGCCCAGCTCCTAACCCACGGAGCCTGGAGACGAGCCTCCCGTCATTGCGTTCTGGGGCTCGGTCACACAGCAGATGCAACACTGTGCCGACGCAGAAACATCAGTGTTTCCCAGCAAGCTGCAGAACAGCACGTATATACCCATTTGGTGCATTCACACCAGTAATATTTCTAGGGAATTACTGGGAGGGGAAGACGGGGGGGGGGGCAGATCCTCTTTTAGATGGTCTATCTAAGTAAGAGCACCCACATTAACTTGAACGGTTTTTTTCAAAGCCCATAGTGACAAAATAAAAATAAAAAAACTTGCATCAATTGATATTAAAAAGACTCTCAGTCCCTATAAAAGAAAAGAAAACTGCTTTAATTTTAGACCCTGCTAACAAGTTTCTGTTACGTGCTTTTCTGGCCAACTGCTGATTCAAAGCCACAGACAGAGAGAGGCGTGGGCCCCGGGAAGGCGGCCGACACCAAGGCAAGGCTGACGGTCGGGTCTCCGCACAAGGCAGAGGCTGAAACAGGCATGTGAACCACTCGAGGGCACGAACAAAGACCCCATGTATCTAGAAGCCCTGAGGACGTGACTACAAAAACAGTGAGCGGTTTAAGTATTCCCTAAGTATTTGTTCCCGCCATCTCACAGACGGGGAGACACCAGGGAGTGGAGCCGGGACCCACAGCACCCTGAATCCCACGCTAACGACGCTGACTGGGTCACCCGGGTCCCCGATGTGATACAGAAAAGGGCGAGGGGGCTGCTCACGGGGCTCCCTCCTGACCATGCAGCTCTGCTCCGACCCGCGTTCACCTTCACGGGCAGGCACGTCTCAGAACGGGCTTCCGGCAAACGCCGGAGGTGGCAGAGAACCTGCGTGTTGGAAACGCAGCAGTGGGAAGAAGGACAATTGTGACGCGTCTGACCCTCTGTCCATCGAGCACTCGAGACGTTGCGGAAGCAGCCGAGCGTCACAGGCTCGTGCGCTTAACGCCTCCGGCGCTCAAACGGCCACACACTTTCCAACCTGTGTACCCCGCCTCTAAAGCAGGACCACGCTCCTCATCTCACCCGGTTACCGTGTGGAATTCGGGGACAGGGGAGATACCTGTACCAAGCCCGGCCTGAGAGCCCAGCGGTTGCCATGGTTACGGCCTCCATCCCCACAGGGGATGCGCACACAGACACGGCCGCGGCACAGACCCGCTTCCTCCCGACCGCCGTGCTCACCTCTTCCCACGGGAAGCGTCTCTGACGGGCACGTCCGCTCGCCAGTTCAGGGGCGACCACCTTCCAGACCCTCTACCTGGAAGCCACCTCTCCTGTTCCGAGCGCTCCCTGTGGGGCCGCACTTCGCCCACTCACCTTTCAGTAGGGCGATTTCTTTCCTGCCTTTTCACTTACATTTCAAGCAGGGTAAGGGCACTGCCTGCATCAGGTCCCAGGCTCCCGCCGTATCTCGCACCCTGCCCGGCGCACGGAGGACGCGGTGAGGGAACGTCATGGGCCTATCAGGGGCCGCAGAACCGTCGGGTGGCTCGGATCCAAGACCAGCCGGGTTCGCGAGGCAGAGTCTGAGGATCCGCAGTGACCTCTGAGAGCTCGGACCCGCCCCCCCACCCCCACCCCGGCCCCCGACCGCCGTGTGTGTGTCAGAACAAGAGCCAGCACTTACACGAACAGTCACCCACGTAATCCGCACTACAACCCCATTAAGTAGAGGGAAACTGAGGCACACAGATGCGTCAGGTCACATCGTAATTCTTCTGCTTTGAACTAAGGTGAGAAAAAGCAAGGCCAATGGATCAGTCAACAGGAGGCAACAGTTCAAAAATGCTATTGTGGGGGCGCCTGGGGGTGAAGCTCTGATTTTGGCTCAGGTCACGATCTCACAGTTGGCGAGTTTGGGCTCTGCATCGGGCTCTAATGACAGCACCGAGCCTGCCTGGGACCCTCTGTCCCCCTAGCTCTCTGCCCCTCCCCCACTTGTGCTCTCTCTCTCAAAAAATGGTTAAACATTTAAAAAATTAAGTAAAAATGCATTCGTGAACACAAGAGTTTCCCAAGCATCACTACACTCTTGACAGTTTGCCTCCGTCAATTTTCACAGAACCCCTGCAGGTTAAAATCAGATGCTTGTTTTATTTCCATTCCCCCATTCTTATCTTAAGGGCTACTACCACTTATGCCCTCCCCCCGACCAAGGCAGAAGTTTCTACCAGCTATAATCTATTCCCACCCATCTGCTGAGCTGGTTGGTTGCCCGCCTGCCATCAGCTGCTCTGCAGGGAACCACATTAACAAAGGGCAAACAGGCAGATTTTTTACAAACAGGAAAACCTATCTAAGTGAAACCATCGTCTTGGGTGCAAGTTTCCCCAGGATCAAGTTCTTTCCACTTTTTCCCTGAAGGGGTGACTTCAGGAGTCTTAGCTGTCTCCAGGAAGTTACCGAGATGGTCTTTAACTTCACAGGAATGGAAAAAAGCAGCAGGTTCACAACCAATAATGCACGCCACGATCTGGGATCCCTTCTGTCACTGCTGTGTAGCAGCAAGGGCCAATTTCCTGCAGCGTGAGAAATGAGACCCAATGAGCTTGAGGCATCGTGTGTCAAAGGCCGTTTGATCCCCATGTCTCGAGGGGCGTCCTTCACCTGTGAAGATGGACACGGGGAGAAAACTACTATCGGTCTGGGGACACCCCGTCCATCACGCGGTGGCAGGTGGCTCCAGCCTGGGCCAGGACATCGGGTTGTCACCACGGGAGTAGCCAACTGTGGACCAGCAGGCGTGTCAGGGGCCGTGCATCTGCGGTCTGATGCCACACCAGCCCGTGCGCGGGGGAGGGAGCCCCAGAAAAGGTTGTGTCCTGGTCCCCTTGAGGCCTCCGGGCTGCGGTGGGAACACAGGGGCATCCTTCCATCCTCTCCACCGATGACATGGCTCCCTGCTCTCCCTGTGCAGCTCGCTGCCCGCTCCCCCTCTTCCTCGGGGCAGGATGTGTGTTCCCACTTCTTCCCAGTGAACTTGGGTGCACACTTGTCCCTGGAGACCTTGGCGGCTCCCCGGGGCGCGCATGGCATGCACCTCTGGGACCGTCCTGCGCGTGGGGACACCGGTGACAGAGTAGGCATGTCCGCTCCCCCACTTTCTTGGTCACCGTGCCCGTGGGCGGCGCGGGGCAGGACAACGTCTGGTGTCCAGTGTGGCCGTGCTCACTGCACACACTTCAGCTGTTGTTCCCTGGCCTCTGCCGATTAGGGCGAGCGTCAGGCGGGCCCAGGCCCCCATGGCCCGGGAGCGAGGGGACAGGGTGGCTGCCGCAAGGGAGGGGCACGGAGGGCATCGGTTTTCAGGAAACATCCTGCCGAGAGGACGGGACGTCCTATCTGTGAAGACTGGAGAAGGCGCACAGCTGCACCTGCGAGAAGCCGCAGAAAGAGCTCACGGGGAAGCCTCTCCAGGGTAACTGACACCATGGAGATGCTCCTACTGAGCAGGACCGACACCGCGCGGGTCACAGGTGTGACCACTCACCGACTCCAGGGGACACAGCGCATTTGCCGCGGCTCACGGGTGAGCACAGAGCCGATGGAGGGTCCTGGAGGGACCGAAGGCCAGCACCATCCACGACCACCCGCGACAGGGGCCACCGGCTCCCCCTGTGGGGCTGAGGGACGGCGGGCGGACAAGTGACCAGACCAGCCTGTCCCTCTCCCCGGATGGAACACAATCCACACAGACACCCTGGTGGCAACACTGTAAGAGATCTCCTGTTCATTCCAGCCCTAAAGTAGTAACAACTCAGGTGAGGCCACTTCCTTCTTGGTTTTATTCTGGTTCTTCGTAATAGTGTTTATGGTTTATCCTTTTCAAAAATGGTCTTTCTACAAGAATGCACTTTTTTTTTAATGTTGATTTTTGACAGAGGGTCTGAGGGGGGGAGGGGGAGAGAGACAGAGAAAGAGAGAGAGAGAAAAGAGAGAGAATCCCAAACAGGTTCTGAGCTGTCAGCACAGAGCCCCATGTGGGGCTCAAACCCATGAACCATGAGATCATGACCTGAGCCGAAGCTGGACCCTTAACCGACCCGGGCACCCCCAGAATGCACTTTTCAGTTTGTGCCTACGGGACAGTTATAGGAAGTGTTCTGTTACACGGTAAGTTCTGGAGAATCAAGTGGAAGCTTCTACAATTAGACTTTTCTCTTGGAGATGGTCTTTAGCACCCCTCTCTGAATCTTCCACTCCAGCCTTGAGAAAAACGTTTCCTAAAACGAACAAACACAGAAACAGAAACTCCTGTCCTGTTTGCCACATGTCACCATACTTAAGCCAAGCCGACTGCTGCCATCAGAGCACTGCACTAAGCACAAGTTTTACATCTTACACACAGCACGTTTCGGTGGTAAGCCGGCATAGGTTTCGGACGCGGCCAGACTCCCTGAATTCACAGGGATTTAGCACCTGAAGCACTTAGTCTAAAAAGTTTAACCTGGAGCCTCGATTAGGAGCAGCAACTCCGGGAGACCCAGCAGGAAGGGAGGCTACGCTCTTTGCAGAGACAGTGACACACGGACCACACGTGTGGTGCCAAGTCTCACCAACATGATGACGCTTACACAGTGTCCTGGGTACAGAATCACTCCAGACTGTTCGACCCTGAAACAGGAGCTCTGTGGACGGAAAGGACGAAGTCACGCCAAATTTGGATCACACAGCGACACTTCCAAGGAAAGCGAATGCCTAGAATAGTCCATTTAACTGCCAACAAGCACCACTCAACACTTTCTCCTCGTTCAGTCTGAGGGTTCAGGCAAGAGCTGTAGGGTGCTCGTGAGCTTACACAGTGACTATCACACAGCTGAGCATCAGGAGAGGGCTTAACACATGGAAAGATAAATCCTACGAGTAAGGCAAAGTGACGTTTCCTGCCGACATCTTTTCCTAAATCTTGTGGTCTCCCCAGAACGATACCCCGAGGAGTCCCTTGCATTTTGCCTGTTAGGACACTTGATGGGCACTGTCCAGATTAAGTCTATACCATCTGTCTCTAAGTAGCAGGGTGTAAGTGTTTACTTTCCCGGGGGTTGAGGGTACAGATTTCACAGTGTTCTTCAGTTCCCACCCCGCCCTGTGTCATCCGCTGGAGGGGCTGTTCCGGTCTGGCAAAGGTAGTGCCTTATTCTGGGGTCTCACTGACCCTGGAGACCACACATCACATGGTACTGGCCAGTCCTTCCTGAGTTTCTCATGACCACAGGGTATGACTGTGGAAAGGTCAAGGATCCCGTCTGGCAGCTGTATCACGAGCCCATCCGTATTCCTTGGACACAGGAGTCGCGTGTTCTTTTACTCAGTGAAAAAGGAGATTCTCATCAATAAAAGGAGGTAGGTCAACAAGGTCCACATTTTAATCACATTAGAAATACACAGTTTTACTTAAAAAATACTTGTACGACTCCTTTTCCTAAACTACGTAGCAGTACATGTTGATGAGGAAAAATTCCAACAGCAGGGACTGCACGTCGGCATTTGGTAAGAAATCCTCGAGAGTGAGGGCGCCGGACGGCGACACAGGACGCTTCTGTGCCCCCCACCCCGAGAACCACCACTATTCACACGCTCAACAACTACTCACACCCGAGACAGCGGCGACAGAGTCCCAGACCGTGAGGCAGAGGCCGAAGACAGAGCACATCAGGAGGTAGGAGGCGGCCACGGGTGATCGCAGTGCCCCTCCCCCAGGCCAGCGCTGCACCGGGCAGATGCCCCTGTACCTGTGGTCCCTCCAGGCGGGAGAGGACCCGGGACGCATATCCAGCTCCCCCATCCTGCAGGTGCCTCTTTGGGAGCCCCCGCTCAGGCTGTGCCCAACGGGGATCTTAGCAAACAGATGTCCCCCTCGCAGGGCCCAGCCGGCCGGCCCAGCAGCAACCCTGCTCATCTGCAGCGCCCAGGCAGGGGTGAGCCGAGGGAGTGTGTGCCCCGCAGCCCTGCCTTCTGCGGGTCCTCAAATGAAGACACTTGCTGGCCCTGCAGCCTGGCCTGCCCCCGCCCAGGCCGGTCAACCGTGGGGTGCAGCCTCGGGCCCCTTCCTGCCCAGACAGCCTGCCGGGAAGCTCGCCCCGGCCCTGTCCCGGTGGGAAAGCAGAGCCACAGCCCCGCCCTGCCCCACCAGGGAGGCCCGCAAGACGCTTGGAGCCTGCAGAGCAGCACACACGGGGGTCAGCCCGCAGGACAGAGCCGGGGTCCCGCTTCAGCCAGAGAGTCACCCCGAATCCAGACACGAGCCCTGTGGGCCCCAGAACTCGTTCTGCTCACGCGCCCTCGCAACCCCTTCCAGCGCTGTTCCCCCTGCAGCCCGCTCAGCAGTGGAGACAAACCGCACACGGCACGCATCACGGGCCGTCCTCAGGGCTGCTCACGGTGCACGGCGGGTGGGTCAACGGACCCGCAGAAAAGCTGGCGGCCCCCCACGGCAGAGACACTGGCTCAGAGCCCAGCCCCCGGCTGCTCAGGAGCTGGTGCGGATGGCCCCGACAGTGTAGACGGTGCAGACAGCGTGGATGGCCCAGACAGTGTGGACAGCCCGGACGGCCAGCCCCACCCAAGTCCAGGCAGCCACAGTGCCCACCATGCCGCCTCGCCCAGGCAGGGAACCCAGCCACCAGTCCCGCCCATCTCTCTGCGGCCGACCGCACAGACCCCAAGAGCAAGCCCACCTGCCCGCGTCCACAAACCCAAACAGACACATCGGGTGAAGACCTGACTCTCTAGAAGAAGACAGCTGCTTGCTTACACACGCAGACTCGTGAACAACTGAGTGAGCATCACACCAAAGGAACAAATTACTAGCTTCCAACTTCCCAAATCCCAGGAGGCAGATAGACGTCCAGGTTCATGAGGCCACAAGGAGCCCTGAAAGGTCAAACACGAATAGGGCTGTGCCAAGACACCCTGTGACTAAGTTGTCAAAGTCTAAGACAAAGAACGATTTTTCTTTTTTTTTTCTTAAAAAACAAAACAAAACAAAACGACGTCATTAAAGCAGTAAGAGAAAAGAAAATCAGATATGAGGGAATGCCCATGGGGTTACAGGCAGGCTTCTCAACAAGAGTATTCCAGGCAGGGAAGGAAGGGGAGGATACACTCAAATACTGATGGGGAAAAAAGCTGTCGGGGCACCTGGGTGGCTCAGCCGGTTGAGCATCTGACAGGCTCAGGTCATGATCTCGTGGTTTGTGAGTTCGAGCCCCATGTCGGGCTCTGTGCTGACAGCTCAGAGCCTGGAGCCTGCTTTGGATCCCCGTCTCCCTCTCTCTCTGCCCCTCCCCTGCTCATCCTCTCTTTCTCTCTCAAAAATAAACGTTTAAAAAAAAATAAAAACAAAAAAACATACAAAGGTAGTGTAAAACTCACTGATACTGTTGTGGTAATGGTGGTACAGAATTCATTTAGAACTCTACAAGTCCGATAAGAAAATACCCATATGTTCAAAGATGTGTTACAAGTTACACGACATAAAAAAACCATAAACTACCATTAATTATCTAAAGTGTAAGGGGGACCAGAGGTAGAAGTGTCAACCTTAGGAATTCTATTGAAGTTGTTATCAGCTTAAAACAGGGTGTTAAATTTTAAAATATTTTATGTAAGCTTCATAATAACCACGAGATAAAATCTACAATTACACAAAAAAACATGATGAAGAAGTCAAAGCATTCAAACACCAAAAAACATCAAACACAGAAAAGCAGGATATGAAAAAATAACAACGGATCTACAAAACAGTCAGAAATCAACAAAAATGCGAAAGTAAATCCTTACCTACGAACAATTACTTTTGATATAAATGCATTAAATTCTCCAATCAGAAGACATAGAATGGCCAAACAGATTAAAGACAAACACACAAAAAAACAAGATCTAGGACATGCCGCCTACAAGAGACTCACTATAGCCCTGAAGACACACACCGACTGAAAGTGAACGAATGGGAGAGATTTCAAGCCAATGGTAAACAGAAGAATTCGTAGTAGCTACACTTAGGTGACACAAAAATACATTTTAAACTGAAAGTGCCAAGAATACACAGACAAGGCCATGATGTAATCATAAAGGAGCCAATCTCTCAAAAAGATGTCACAATCGTTGGGGTGCCTGGGTGGCTCAGCGGTTCAGTGTCTGACTCTTAATTTCGGCTCAGGCCATGGGATCGAGCCCCAAGTCGAGCTACTTGCTGAGAGCATGAAGCCTGCGTGGGATTCTCTCTCTCTCCTTCTGCGCCTCTCCTCTGCTCTTGCTCTCTCAAAAGCAGTAACAATTATAATTATTTATGTACCCAAACGCTGCAGAATATGTAAAGCAAAAACTAAGGGGCAAAAGGAGAAACAGTAATTACTAAGGTAGCAGCAGGTTTGAATGTCCCACAGCAGATGGACCCAAGAGACATACGCAAATCAGTCTGACAACAAAATACGCATTCTTCTCAAGAGCACGGGGAACGTGTTCTAGCATAGACCGTATGTTCCACAGGCCGCAAGACAAGTCGTACCAAGTCCAAGCACGGGCATCTTCGTGGGAGTTTCTCCGGGAACAGAAGGGCCAGCAGAGGACCTTTTCTCACTCTCTTTCTGCCTAGCTGACCCAACACCAGTTGCTGACACTTCCGACACCCCCCACCCACCGTGTGAGCGTCACTCCTGTAACCCCAGTGTTCCCGCAGAGCCTCCTTGCCCAAACTGCCCACCCTGGCAGCCACCCACACCACACCCGGGGTGCAGCTTCAGCTGGGACCGGGGCCCCTCCGAAGCACCCCCCTGCCATACTCAGTGGGCTGCCTCAGACAGGACCAGCCCCCGCCCCCCTCCAAAGCAGTCATGACTCAGCCACAAGAGGGGCAGTGCATAAGGCCCACAGGGGACATCCCTGGAGTGCCCAGTTGTGGTGGCCCGGGGAGACTGTGCCTCAGAGCCCTGCAGGACGCCTTCTGTAGAAGGCCACTCCCTCGAGATCAGGAGACATACCTGATCTACCTAACAGAAGAGATGAATGCAAAGGCAAAATTAGGACACACAGGAATACGTTCTAAGCAAAAGAATGAGACAAAGCCTCAAGAAAAATAACTAAATGAAACAGATGAACAATTTGAGAAAGGGTTCAAAGTGAGAGTCAAAAGGTAATCCCCCAAATTAGGAGAATGGATGAACATATGGAGAACTTCAAAGAATTAGAAACTATAAGAACCAATCAGAACTAAAAACTACAATAATTGAAACAAGAAATACACTAGAGGAATCAACAGCAAAGCAGAGGCGGCAGAGAAATGATCCGAGATCTGGAAAACTGGGTGGTGGGAATCACCCAAGCTCAGCAGCAGAAAGGAATTTTATCTAATTTGTAGCAAAAAGGAATTAAAATTTTTCAATGTTTATTATTTATTTTTGAGAGGGAGAAAGAGAGAATGAGCGGGGGAGGGGCAGAGAGAGAGGGAAACACAATTGAAAGCAGGCTCCAGGTGCTGAGCTGTCAGCACAGAGCCTGACGCGGGGCTCAAACCCATGAGCCGTGAGATCATGACCTGAGCTGAAGGCGGACGCTTAGGATGCTTAACCGACTGAGCCCCCAGGTGCCCCGACAAAAAGGAATTTTTAAAATACAGAAAGCTGACGTGGTATCTGGAATGACACGAAGCATACTAACATTCACATTACAGGGGAACCAGGAGGAGAAGAGAGGAAGGGCTGAAAAGGTATGTGAAGGGATAATGTTTTCTATCCTGGGGAAGGACAGAGATGTCCAGGCCCAGGAAGCACAGAGAGTCCCAAACAAGAAAAACCCAAAGAGGTCCACAAAGACAGACAGACCTGCAAAGTAGCAACAGTAAAGCAACCAGTCACATAAAAGGGAAGCCTTCAAAGACCACCAGCTGATTTTTCAGCACAACCTTTTCAGGTCACAAGGGAGAGGCATCTACTCAAAGTGCCTTAAGAAAAAAAAAAACCTGGGGCGCCTGGGTGGCGCAGTGGGTTACGCGTCCGACTTCAGCCAGGTCACGATCTCGCGGTTCGGGAGTTCGAGCCCCGCGTCAGGCTCTGGGCTGATGGCTCAGAGCCTGGAGCCTGTTTCCGATTCTGTGTCTCCCTCTCTCTCTGCCCCTCCCCCGTTCATGCTCTGTCTCTCTCTGTCCCAAAAATAAATAAACGTTGAAAAAAAGAAAAAAAAAACCTACAGGAGCATCTGGGTGGCTCAGTAGTCAAGTGTCTGACTTTGTCTTAGGCCACAATCTTGCAATTCGTGAGTTCGAGCCCCGCATAGGGCTCTCCACTCTCAGTGCAGAGCCTGCTCTGGATCTCTATCTCCCTCTCTCTCTGCCCCTCCCCTGCTTGTGCACTCTTTCTCTCTTTCTCTGTCAAAAATAAGTAGCTTTAAAAAAAAGGCTAATAAAAAAAAAAAGTAAAAAGAACAAAACCTACAACCAAGAACACTCTACCCAGCAATATTATCGCTTAGCACTGAGGAAAAGATCAGGAGTTTCCCATACAAGGAAAACTTAAAGGAGTTAAAGGTCCCTCTGTTAAAGGGACCTTTTATTTTTTTTTAAATTTATTTTTTTTTTCAACGTTTATTTATTTTTGGGACAGAGAGAGACAGAGCATGAACGGGGGAGGGGCAGAGAGAGAGGGAGACACAGAATCGGAAACAGGCTCCAGGCTCCGAGCCATCAGCCCAGAGCCCGACGCGGGGCTCGAACTCACGGACCGCGAGATCGTGACCTGGCTGAAGTCGGACGCTTAACCGACTGCGCCACCCAGGAGCCCCTAAAGGGACCTTTTAAAGGAGAAATGAACACGCTATAACTAGAGGAAAATTAAGAAAAAACACCTCACTGGCAAAAGCACACATATAATAAAGGCAGCGAATGACCCACTTCTAAAGCTGGCATGAGGGGCGCCTGGGTGGCTCAGTCGATTAAGCGTCCGACTTCGGCTCAGGTCATGGTCTCACGGTCCGTGGGTTCGAGCCCCGCGTTAGGCTCCATGCTGACAGCTCGGAGCCTGGAGCCTGCTTCGGAGTCTGTGTCCCCCTCTCTCTGCCCCTCCCCCACTCACGCTCTGTCTCTAAAAAATAAATAAATATTAAAAAAAAAATAAAGCTGGCATGAAAGTTAGAAAACAAAAGGGGTAAAAATAAACCGTATCTGTAATAGTTAGAAGGCATACGAAATAAAAAGACATACAATATGATGTCAAATATATAAAACGTGGAGGGGAGAGTAAAAACGTAGTGCTTTTAGGATGTGTTCTAACCTCAGGGACCACCAACTGAAGAGACTGTTAAGATACATGGTGTTCTATACGAACTCCCAAAACCTGTAAGGGATGCAGGCTGACCTCTTCTCGGGCTTCCCTTTATTGTACCTTACAACCGCTTTATTATTTTTTTTAAAACAAATTCAAGGTTTATGGCAATCCTGCATCGAACGAGCACCGTTTCCCCCACACCATTTGCTCACTCCGTGTCTGTGCCACATTTTGGTGATTGTGGCAACGTGTCCTGCTTTTATGTTATCACACTTGTTATGGCGACCAGTCATCTTTGGCGTTCCTATTTTAATTCTTTTGGGGCGCCACAAACCACACCTGTGTGTGTGTTCTGACTGCCGCCCTGACCCGCCGTTGTGGTCTCTCCCTCCTCCTGGAGACACAACAGTATGGGAAGCAGACCACCGACAGCCTTGCAGGGGCCCAGGGCAGGCTGCACCACGGGGGGCCACTTCGGCATGAAGACCATTTTGAGCTAAAAGCCATCAGGAACCAGCAGATTTAGCAGAGGCTCTTCCACCCCCACCAGCCCTCAACTACCTCAAACAACCTCCATGAGGGGCCGGGCCTGCCCCAGGAAGCCAGCGGTCACCACACAGAGCCGCCAGTACGAATGAGGGATGGAGGACAGGGAGGAGCCTAGCAAGGCCCATCCTGTGGGTGGCCCGGCAAACGCCTCCTTCTCCCCGAGGACTCATTCCTTCAAGACTCAGACCCCCACCCCCTTGGTTCAGGATGACGGACACACCTCACTGTGTGTGTTGCTGGAATCTGTATGTTTGTGTGGCTTCCTCATACATATGTTATCTTCTATCTAAATGTGATCTTCTGCTCACGTCTCATGTCCACTTGACTCTCAGTCCGGCTGGAACGACCTCAAGGGGACAGGATATTCTTGCTCGTGACAGCCGCTAAGCGCTCAAGTGCAAAGAAGGGTCTCAGGCCTCCACTCGCCTCGAATGCTACAAGTGACTGGGCCTAGTGAGGAAAGCCTCACTCACGGCCTAACGGCGAGCTGTGAGCAGAGAAGTTCCACACAGACGTGGAAGGCGCGGCTCCGGTGAGCACACGAGTAAGAGAGCGAGTGAGGCGGCCTTACTGCCAGTGTGGACAACGATCTAAAGGTCCCAATCCAGGATCAGACCAGCCACGACGCTCCCTTATGCCAAAGTGTCACCCAGGGCACTTGTGAGGAAGCCGCAGAGCTCGAGACTGGCCAGGTGGGTGCATGAGGCCTCGGGAAAGAGGCCGTCTCCACGACGCCCCAGTGCAGCCACCCGGTGGAGAGGCCGCCGACTCACTTGGATGGCCCACCTGAGGGAGCTACACTAAACGACAGATTTTCAGCATGGACAAGACGGCCCCCGCTGAAGGGCCCGCCCAGGATGTCCTAGCCGGAGACGGGTCAGCGCCCGGCTTCCCAGGACAGGCTGACCCTCCCGCTAGGGCCAGGGCGGCGACGACCGCGCGGGGGCCCGGGGCCCAGGGGCCACTCTGCAGGTGCCGCCCCGGCTACCCCACCCGGGCCCCGGTTGGAACAACAAAGCCCGATGACCGCACTGTTATTTACGGCAGCGCTCGAGCTTTTCATTTTTAATATTTTAACAGTCCAGAGGTTTTTGGTTTTTTCACACCGCCCGCGCGGGGACTCCCAGGGCCCGGGCCCCAGCAGCTCAGGCCCTCCCACGGGGTCCCCGGCCAGGCCGGTGCCCCCGCTGAGCCCCAGCACCTCGCTGCGTGGCTTCCTTCCTTCCCGCGCTTCGGGAAGCCGGCGGCTCGCCACGTGCCCTAGTTCTGGGCCGAATCCTGCCCTTCACCGGCCTGCGTGCCACGGTACCAAGAGCATGCTGGGAGCCTCTGCAGACACTGCCGGTGTGGCCACCGCGGCACCTGCAGGGGGCGCTCCTTTCACCGGAGCCCGTTCCCTCCGCGTCGACAGCGTCCCCTGGGTTCACAGATATGTGGCTACAGGGACACGGCCACGTTTTGTAGGAGGCCAGAGAACACGCAGTGGGCGCCTCTCTTCTTTCTCTCTGTGTTGGTCATTTTGGTGAATTACTGGCCCAAAGGCCACGCTGTATTATTTTAAGGCTGAGGTTGAGAGCTTGTGCTCAGAAGAATAGTTTCCTTTAAAAATATCAGTGCTAGGGCACCTGACTGGCTCAGTGGGTAGGGCGTGTGACTCTTGAACTTGGGGTTGTGAGTTCAAGCCCCACGCTGGGTATAAAGACTACTTAAAAATGGCATCTTAAAAAAAAAATAAATAAAAACATCAGGGCTCACTGACAAGATACCTGGTCATCTGAAGGCTGTGATGCACATGTCCAAGGAGGTCAATGTTCTCATGTCTGCCAACACTATACCCACCCTGCAACCCACACACCAAGGAGTAATTTCTACGTTCAAGTGTTGTTATTTAAGCAATACCTTTCATTACGTCAAGGGGATCAAGAGTACGCTCATGTTGCGCACTGAGTCATATATGGACGTGCTGAATCACTATGTTGTACACCTGAAACTAATATAACACCGTGCAGTAACTACAGTGGAATTAAAAAAGGAAAGAAATATATTTCCTAAGGCTGTAGCTGCCACAGACAGTGATTCCTCTGATGGATGGGAGCAGAGTCAATGAAAAACCTTGTGGAAAGGATTCCCCATTTGAGATGCCATTAAGAACATGAGCAATTCATGGGAAGTGGTCAAAACATCAACATTAAAAAGGGTTTCACGGTGGGGCTGGGGGCGCCAGAGTGATTCAGTCAGTTAAGCATCTGACCTCGGCTCAGGTCATGATCTCGTGGTTCAGGTTCGAGCCTCACGTCCAACTCTGTGCTGACAGCTAGAAGCCTGGAGCCTGCTTCTGATCCTTTGTCTCCCCCTCTCTCTGCCCCTGCCCTGCTCATGCTCTGTCTCTTTCTCTCAAATATAAATAAATGTTAAAAAAAAAAGGGGGGAGGGGCAGGGCTTCATAACAGTTGATTCCAGCCCTCAGGGAGGACTGTGGGGGGTTCAAAAGCAAAGTGGAGGAAGTTGCTGCAGATGTGGAGGAAACAGCCAGAGGGCTCAAGTCAGAAGTGGAGCCTGAAGACAGACTGGATCCATCTACAATCTCGTGATCAAACGTACACGGATGAAGAGCTGGTTGTAAAGGACGAGCAAAGGAAGTGGTTTCTTGAGATGGAATCTACTCCTGGTGGAGATGCTGTGAAGACTGTTGAGATGACAACACAGGATTCAGAACAGGACACGAACTTAGTTCATAAAGCAGCAGAGGGTTTCAGACGATGGACTCCAGTTTTGAAAGAAGTTCTACTCTGGGTAAAATGTTATCTAATGGCATCGCGTGACACAGAAGGAATCGTTCATGGGAAAAAAAGGTCACACAATGTGGCAAGATTTGTCTTCTTATTTTAATAA